ATTTTAAAACGAGTAATAAATGAGACCGAAATTAGCGAACAAGAAGCTCTAAAGTTTGTTAACATTTTGACTTTATTTAGACAAAAGAGCAAAGTTTAGCCTTTGCAGTAATTAATACCGTCTAGCAGTTTCATAAGTAGATTCAGGAAAATGGTAAAATAAATTCAGGATAATGCAGGCAGTGGTATCACCTTCTTTAAAGAAAATATAGTAATCGAAGTACCGTTTGGAGAGTTGAAGTTTAACTCAAAAATAAAAAAAAAATGGAAGACTAGCCTAATTAGCATACAAGTTAATCGAAACTGCACAAACGGCTAATCTATGCGCCTTCCTCTTCTACCGACTTACTCTCAAGTCAATAATTTACAAGTCTTTGTTTCTCTCCGACTCAGTTTTGAGGAAGACGTAGAACTTCAACGTTCTATTTAAAAACATAGACGTCTTGATAGGCTTTGCATAATCAGCAGTTCCATATTTTCCTCCATTTGTGCACCTAATAAAGTTTAAGTTATATTTCATACAGGTATGATTAAAAGACAATTCTAAGTTACAGGTTACAATTCTAACTTTCTCGCAATTAGCCATAATTCCTCTGCAGTATTACATAGAATGGTCAAATGAAAGAAAAAAAACCAGAGCTGTACTAGACGTAATTTAAACTGACTAAAAATTGCTTCATTTCTTGAAATGCAAACTCAAAAAGAAAAAATTTAAATAATTATGAAGTGCTCGTTTTTACGGGTTTTTTCATCGTATGCAGTGATGAGGAACTTCTCTAGACGTTTAAAAGTAGACCAGAATAAAAAAGTTTTGGAAATTATTTTTTTCGCTCACAGAACTAACGTTTAATAATCAACAGCTCACAGCCAACTTTATCATATTTATGACTTACCGTTTACTGCAACCCTCATTACATTTTTGAAACTGAGACAACTTTAAAGAAACTGGTCTATCTGCTCCAATCTGAAGCAACAGTTTTGGGAAATAATAGAGTCTTTTACCATTGCTACATTTATTTGGCTGTTTGTCAGCAGATATGTACTTAGAAAGTAAATCTAAAACAATTTATGCAATCAGTGGTTATTGAATTTATCAGTTGCTTTTCTCAAGTCCTCAAAATTTTTCTGACCTTAGATTTTTAAAGCTAACTGCAAAATGAAGCGAGCCTGTTAAAGCAAGTCTGTTTTTTGACAGTTCATAACACGTTAAATTGCAGAAAACGGTGAGGTACTGTCAGGTAGAAGTATAAAAGACGTTTTACGAGCAAAAAAACTATCGCTCATAAGGCGTAAGGTTACAATTTCTCAAAGGGAGCTTAATTTGACAAGTCAGATACTTTTTTATGCTTCTGTTCAGTAAATGTTACAACTCTGACGAATAAAATTTCGCGAACAGTTGTTTTGTATTTTGCAAACTCTGTTTAGGGTCTGCAGAATAAACAATTGTTAAAGGGTGGCTGAAGAAATATTTTAGCACTTTACTTGATATAGGTATGCCTATTAGTACGAAGGTTTTCAAATGGTTGTTGTTTTTGTTTCTATGTCTCATTTTTTTTTCGTTCCTCGTAATACTAAAAAAAGTATATAATTTAAGTATTAGTTTTTGCTCATGAGACCAGTTTACATTTTTTGTGGTCTGAAAAGCATGAGATTACCAAAATATTTTACTTTATGAAGCTTTAACTCTTACCGAGTTTTTTTTTTTTGATTATTTCAAACGTAGTTGTTTCACTCTAACTCTTCTTAAAAATAATACACTTGTGAGCGTTTTAACACTTACAAAAAAGTAATTAGAAAGAATAATATTATTTTCAAACAAACTGTCTGCGTCTCCAAAAGAGTAGCTGGAAAAGACCGGTTTTTATAAATGATGCGTTGTTCCTGCGTAATTTGAAAAGACATACACAAAAAAACGAAGATTGAACACGTCAAGAGCAGTAAAAACAAACCATTTATTGTAAAGTTGTATTACATGTGTAGAACAGTTTGATTTCTTTATTACGTCCTATCTGTAAGTACGATTTTATAACAAAGGTTATTTGTTTTAGAAAAACCCAGAATTTTTGTTTTTTAATTCAAACATTTTGTTTTACAAGAAACTTAGCTAGAAAATCTAATGCAGTTGATACTCTTTTTTTTTGCTAAGTAATGAAAAGCACCTCATAATTCACACAAATAGGTTTAATTGTGAAAAAAAATTAAACTTCAATCAAAATTAGAGATGGGCACAAAATAAAAAAAAAAAGTAAGAAAACAGTAAAGATTTTGTAAAATTGTTAAATAAGACAAACAGACAAATAAAACTTTGAAATGGTGTTAAAAAATACCAATATTCACATCTCTTATCTTTTGTCTTGCAAATGTGTTATGCGAAAAAGCCACTGGTCGGGCAGAAGACTTTAGTTTTTCTTCCTTTCTACTGAACGTTTCCAGTTGGTTTCACTGCCGTGGCAGGAAAAGAGAGTTGCAATCATCAAGTAGTGGGGCTGCATGTTCTGTGTTTCTTTTAAGAATACCTCGTTCAACGAGCTGCGTAAAGAGAATTTTCGTGAAAAGATAAGATTTTATAGCGTTTTTTAAACTTCTTTTTCGTCTGTCTTGCCACTAAATTTCATTTACCGTATCTGACACAGTACGCTTCAATTACTTTATTGACGAGCAACAAGGTCTTCGTTGAATATTCTGATAATTACATATTTTTAGTGATTAGGTGGACTAGTTTTACAGTTTTAAAATGTTGCATTAGCTTCTGATCTACATTACTTCAAATTGCTTGCTCTTCTGGTATATAACACAAAGAACAGCCTCTACTGTTCATGTTTATGTAGCCACAAAAATCCAAATTATTTGTCGAGCTGCGTTTATAAAATGATATACTTCTCTACGAGTGTTTTATTATTACTGGTCATTTCGTTGTTTTTTCTCTGCTGGAGTGGATTATCTGTAATGAACCTGTCTTTACAGGAAATGTCTAGGAAGACACCGAAGGCATGTTGAAAAATTGCCCAATCTTTTTTGGTTAATTTTTTTTTAGACGATGAGACTTTTACAGATGGAGCTAGCCAAAAAACAAATTTTTATGAAATTGAGCGAGCTATAGAACTGGAAAAAGCAGCTAAACTTGAAGTTCTCCTAAGTAGAATATCTTAGTATTTCAGTGCTTTTGAGATTAACTTACAATATGTATACTCAACTATAACAGTTGAGAATATTGCTTGAATTATGTGATTTATTTGATAAAAGGGAAATTATGTAACTCATAAGAATTGTAGCACCAGCCATCTAAAAAACTAGGTACTAACGAGCTAAAAGAAAAATACCGTTTTTAGTCGGTTTTTTAAAGTATTTGAAAATAACACAAATTCCAGAAACAGAAAAGATTACGTTTGAAATTTCATTTTACAAGATTACAATACTGCACTAAACGTGATAAAGATATTGACCTTTGCAAAAAGCAGCTGTGTTTAAAAAACTGTAATTTTTTTCAACTTGACTACTTCTAATATTTTTTGCTGATAACTCCTCTTTTAAGACCATACTAGACAGAGATTCAATACTTGCGCGTTTCAGTACAGGTTCGACTAGAAAAGCCTTTTTGATTTTGCAATTAGTGCTGAAGGTCTACGAGTCAGAGAATCAAGAATAAAATTTTTGAGGACTACATTGGAAAGTTGCGCAGATCAATAACGGATGGTTTTAGTATTTATTTTAGATTTACTTTCTGAGCGCTTATCTGGTAACAGACCGTCAAATTACGGTGGCACTAATGACAGCGTGCTTATACTTTCCGAAACTTTTGCTTCAGCTGGAAGGCAGTAGACCGGTCCCATTGCAGTTGTCTCAGTTTCAGAAATGCAGAGAGCTTGCTGCGAATTTGAAACCGTAAGTCAGGAATTCAGTAAAGCAAACTGAAAGTAAACAAATTTTGAAACATCAATTCTGAAAGTGATGAGAGTGGTTTTAAAAATCATTATAATTTGGTGTGTTTGTCTAAGATTCAAAAAAGTTTCTGCTGTTATGAATTTAGAGAAATTTCAAAGTAATAAGAGTTTCTAAATTTCCTGACTTTTTTAATCTGTCAATTTTAGCATAGAAGGTGAAGCATCTTTTAGGCAGTTTCAGTCGTTTCAACAGCCACTCCAGTTTTCTTTTTTTGTAAAGGCACAACTTTGTAATGCTCTCTAAGAGTCGTGATTGGTTTTGGAAGAGTTTGTTCGCACACGAAGTTTAGCCCATATTTTTAAGCTATTGAAAGTGACAAAATAATTAGTTGTTTTTTTTTAATCCAACACGTTAAAAACTACAATAAAAAGTGTAAGAAGCGTTTCGAAAGTATTCCTAAATCACAGCTGATCAAAACTACCTAGCAGAACAACTTAAAAATTAATAGATGCACGTACAACGGAAAGTATGGAACTGCTTATTTTGCAAGGCCTATTAACACGTCTAAGGTATTGAATAAAACATTGAAATTGCACGTCTTCCTCGGAACGCAACCAAAGAAGAGGGTATTGTTGGAAGTTGTTGACCTGAGAGTAGGTCAGCTGAAAAAGAAACCACACAGACTGGCTGTTTGTGCAGGTCCAGTCTGGTTGTATGCAGAGTGGGCTAGTCTTCCAACTTTTTTTGAGGTGAGCTTGACTATCTCAAGGTGGCTTCACCAATTTTTCTAGAGAAGATGTACCACTGTCTGCGTTAATCTGAATTTGATTTACCGCATGTTCGAGTGGACCTGTAAAACTGTAAGACAGCTAGAAGGTTTTGAAGGATCTAATACGCTCCTTCACCTAGTAAAATAAAAATGCGAATAAATGAAGAAATTAGAAAAAAAAAAGAAAACTTTGTTATCTGCTGTTTCAAATTTAGCCTTCAATATTTTCGGCAAAACAGTGCTGCTAAAACTTCCAAATTAATAAAAGACAATAAAAACAGTTTTTTAGCTATTGCTCTCAGCATTTAGTGTCTTTTTTATTACTTCTAGCTACTTATTTTAAATTTGCATAAATATTCACTTGCAGATGTGGATTGCCAATGGTGCAACAAAGTTTTATTTTTATGTCAACAGCATTTCAAAAGAAGTAGATGGAATTTTTCGTATTTACGAAAATGATCCAAATATCAGTGTAGAACGTGTGCAATGGAATCTGTTTCCTGTAGAAGCAGATGTTTCAGACCAAGAAAACCCTAACAATTTGATATATATTGGAGCAGTAATGTTTATCGCTGCATTCAAATTCTTAGCAAATACTTTTGGAATATTTAAACTTCAATTTTATTTGATTTACAATCTCTTCTTTCTAGCAAGTCTTCGTATTTAATGACTGCATTGTCAGAGCAAGAGGGAACACTGATTATCTGGCATTATCAGATCTTGATGATAATTTTGTGGTATTTGATAACCGCACTTTGTTGTCGGTTCTGGACAGTCAGTTAAAAAAAGACAGAAAGATTGGTTCTATTATGTTTCAAAGCACATATGCAAAACTAAATGTCAGTCATGTAAAATTTCTAATGCTTATAACGACATAAAACTACAGAACTCTTTGGAAAACTGATCAAAATGCAAGCGTTTTTGGTGTTAAAAGTTTAAAACTTTTTGAAAACAACTTTGATGGCTTTATTTAATACCAGCTTTCTACTGCTTTTTAGTGAAACAGAGGCTTACTAGTACTAATCAGCAACATGCATGAATTTGACTGGATGCAGATTTTTTAGGGAAATTATTCAAATTTGACACACCCAACGCAAATCCGTTTTGACATGTACAAAAATATCTTGAGAACAGATAAACCTTATCCACCAAAATTAAGGAGCAAGGTCTGATGCTTTAATTAAACCTCTTAGTTGTTTGTTTTGACGACAGTATAGATACAGATTATAAAATCGACAAACATTTTGAGGTTTTTTCTTTATATTTTAGGTAGTAGTTGTTCCTGAGAGAATTTTATCACAGCATGTGCACGAAACGCTGAAAACGATCAGACCGTTCAAAAAAGTTCTTATGGATCCGAATATCAGTCTGATTTACCATCTGAGGTAATAACATTATTTGCTGCTCTCAGTGATGTTCAAATTATTATAACTTGACTAGTTTTTTTTAAACGTTTATATTAGGCGTAAAAAAATAATATTTTGAGAAACTCTATCTTCTTTACTACATTATTAAATAATTTCAGATGGATCTCTACGCCTCCAGTTGAAAGAAATGAGCTAAAATTAAGCAATGTTTTTAATAAGAGTGTAACGAAGTGGAATTCTAGGTATATTGAGCTACTGAAGCAAGAATATTTGCGCCTTGAAGGTGTTTTTAATGCAAGCCATTTGACTTTGAAACAGGCTCATTGGAACAATGTTGGTTTAAAGGTACCAGATTTAAAAAACCAAAAAGAATTTTGAAAGTTGAGTATTGTGCAGCAAAACAGCTAAAATGCGTATTGTCTTGACTTCCCCAAAAAGCTATTTTAAATTTGAAAAAAAAAGTGTTTGCATTAAAAACTTTATGCATGGAAAACACTAAAAGAAAATTCGATTTATAAAATTTTTTACGAATAAAAGATAATAAAGCAAGAGAAACCAGAAAGAGACTACAGGTGATGAGTGAAATGGATCGCTGCTTGACGAAAATTTGGAAAAGCGAAAAACGTGAATGTCTTTCATACAACAAATGTCGTCGGAAAATTTCGTTTATCAAAAAAGAGGAGTGGATTTACCCTCACAAGAAATGGCCTGTTCTTTAGATAAATAACCCAAACTTTTCTTCCACACAAATGCTTGTGTTTTTCTTATTTGAATAAAACAGTTTTTTACAGAGGTTTCATTTGCATTTCATCACCTCGGTCTCAGAACCGCGTGTGCAGCATAGGAAGAAACACTGAAAGTGAGCCTGAAACTTTTAAAAAACATTTCTTTTCCGCTACCGATTCTGTTTCATAAAACTCTTCCAAGCAATAATCAGGTAAAACATTTGTTTCTTTTCACACAGTAATAAGACGAAAGTTTTTTCAGCATTATTAACGAATTACGACTTTTAAATTGCACTACGGTTGACAAAATAGATCTCTATTAAAGAGCACTACTGATGACGTGTGAACATAGAAGAAACGAAATATCGAATAAAAAATAATCAGTAAAAGCAACAATAATCAAAAATATCTTAGAATCTAAAAAAATATCCACTTTCATTTTTTTGAAATTTAATTATGAAATTGAAAAGAAATTAGACTACATTAGATTAAAATATATTACGCCTACTGATGTTTCAAACTACTAAGTTAAGCAGCAGCAGTGGTTCTTCTTCATTTCTGATTCTCTGCACTAAACTCAAAAAAGAATAGTTGATTAAGATAGTTATTACTGAAAAATATAAATAAATGAATACGTCTGGTAATCAAATTTTTCAGTAAAAATTTATAAAACATTTTAAATTAAAAAGAAATCTTTCTAGATAGAATTCATGGTGAAAGTAGAAGATTCCAAGCAAATGGGTCTAGCCATGTTGCACACAGAGCAGACTGCTGCTACCTCATGCAGGGTGTTCTTCGCTGGCACCTGCATCAGCTAGCAGCAGTTGAGCAACAGGGCTTACAAAGAAACCTTGTCTACCGCGCAGAGAAAAAAATGGAGCTACCAATTCGAGTGAGTTTTACAAGAACCAGGTGCAGAGTATTTGCAGACGACGTTGTTGCTGGTTAAATGTCAACGGAATCTGCTTTTTAATTTTTCCGTTTTCAATTCTTGGCACTTTCTGAAGCACAGTACGGGAGTTAAGCCGCCGGCGCGCACGTCGTCCAGTTACGCAGATGAGGTAGGACCAACGGCTCTAAGCATGATCGTAAACTTTACCATTAAAATACAGCAAGACTTAGCTTGAAAAATACAAACAGCATCAGTTCTCAAAATTTTTTTCTCGTTATCGGCTTTTTTTTTCTCTAATAAAATATTAAAAAAAGTTTATTTTATGAACGTCAAACAGTGCAGAAATTAGTCTGAAAACCTTAACAGCAACCGAGTAATGTCAGCAGAACTAATCAGTTAAAATGATATAATTTGGCACATTTCCCTTTCTTTATTTTTTTTTCTGGCGATTGGTTTAAACATCAAATGAGAAACTGTTATTTTTAACAAATATTTTTAGCTGAATAATTTTTAAAAACCACCGTTCGAGTATGTAGGAAGAAATAAAAGTGATACGCAAAAGACTGGTTCAAATATCTTTTACATTTTAATAGAAGCAGCGCAATTGCTTTTTTAAATTAAAATTTGAACTTTTAGTTAACTGTTAAAACTGAGTTGTTTTTTCACTTCTTTTTTTTATTTTCAGTGAAAGTTTGAATGAGTAAATTAAGAATGACTGCTTGAAACTAATAGTGAAATGTGTAGTATAAATTTATAAATACGATAGCGGCTTTTTACGTCATGGCAGAAAGAAATAGTTTACTATGTTTATTACTGTATATGCATCTGAAATGTGTTGTATTCTGAGTGCACTATTTCTAATTCATCGTACAACCTCAGCTGTCATAACAGTGCATTCAAACAAATTCTGCCAAATTTTATTTTATATTTTGGGAAATCAGTGCTTGATAAAATTTTTTCCTTGTTTCGTCTCAATTTTAAATCTACTTAAAACCACAAAATAAAAAAACAAAGCATTAATATTTCAAGTAATTTACAATTACTGGTAGAGGAAAACTGCTAAAAAGTGTAGAAGCAAGTTGTCTGTTTGAATAAAAGTGTGCAAAAAATGGTTGACAGTTAATAGTCTAATTCGTACATATTTTTATTCATTTATTTGTTTGTTTACTTATTTGCTTGTTTATTTTCTGGTTTATTTATTTATATATTTATTGATTTATTTACCTATATACTTATCTATTTATTTTTACTTATTTTATGCACATATCTGTTTATTTATTTATTTGTTTATTTTTTTGCTGTTGTACAAAAATTGCAAATATTGGTTTGGCAAAAGAATTTCTGTAATATAAATTTGCTCATAAAATAAAGTTCAAAATTGGCTTATGTTTAAGAGTTTTAGCACAACAATTATTAGTACAAAACATTAACAGGTTTTTGATAATTAAGGGTAAGTGCCTCACTTGGTAATCTAACTTCTTAAACGAAACCTACTTCACAAATCAGCTATTATTTTGTTGAAAAGTAGTCTCGATCATAATTACGTTTATTCCATTGGTAAGACTACTGTTAATTTTGGGCTAATATGATATGAAAATAACAAAAGCTGGCCTAATTATTCCACCAACTGAGGACAACTTTGAAAATACTTACTTTGGTTACGAACAACTTCTCCAATACCAATGGAAGCAAACTTCGTTGATCACGCTAAAATGATTGCTTATTAAATTACCAATATTTTTGAAACGCATTGGTAGATATCTAAAATGTAATAAGTTTTCTTCAATTGCATACATGTACCACGAAATAACCGACAGTCACAACTTTAGAGACCCTCTTTTAGTGAAGAAATTTTTGCAGTTCTAACAAAATTATAAACTAAAAGTAATTTCAAAAGTATTCTACTTTTGGCTGGTCATTAACAGGCACAGTAAATTGATCGACCACTCCGTTAACCGTTAGCAGAAAATTTATCAACTGACTTACTTGCTATTCTGAAGAGTGCTCCGCAGAAAACTTTCAAGTTTAGCAAAACTTGCTGGCGAAAATCAGAAGAATGAAATCTCCACGTCCATTGGCACACCGTAATTTCAACAGAATCCAGGATTCCATCGGGTAGAAAATAAGGAACTGCACTGAACTAAAAAAGCTCACTTTTGTTAAACGAAGCGTACGAATAAGAAGATTTCAAAAATATTTAGTCTGAATTTTATTAGAGTTAATACCTTCCAGTAATGAAAGTGAGGCCTGCCACGCGATTATAAATATTCAGACAGTTTCGCGAGTAAAGTTTTATTAATTAAAACTCGACTGCTTTTTATAGGTGGCTTAGTACAATAGCTTTTAGAAGATAAAGACCGATTAATCATAGTTTAAGTGCTACTGAAGATAGTTGAGCAAAGTGAAGATAAACAAAGTGAGTTATTTTCCCATTCTTACCAAAGTTATTGCAAAACTTCTAAGATAAATGACTCTTTCTGATTCTTTCTTTTTGGGTTTTAGACAAAGCTTGGGCTTTTTGTTGCAGAACTTCCATTTTTTTGGTACATCTTTAGCATAAAAAGTGTAGTTTAGTTGTTTATGGTGCAACTTTGAGCTTCGTATATTACAACTTTATTAACTGCACAAAGTTGTCGAATGTTCTACATTGATTGCTCTATCAGTGACCGCTGGTATCCCACTACAGTTGATTTCTTCTCCGATTTCAGCCTGTCAGTTTTTGTACCAGTCGACTGCTGCTGTTCTTGTCCTCTTCACACTTTTCATTGACCTTTTCGCACCTTTTAGCGACAAATGCAATTAAAAAAAACTTAAACCTTAGACTAAAATCTTGAGATTCTGTCACAGACACGACGTACACGGCTTTTTGTTTTAGCCTTTCCAAGGAAAGTCATTTTTAAAATAAACAAACAGTTTTCTTGTTTTTTTTTTCGCCTAGCCCATGTATTTTCGTCAAAATGCTTGACACTGTATTTTTTTTGAATTCACTGCCTCACCCCTGGCAGAGGAAAGGGAACTGTACAGACGTATACGAGACAAGAAGCTCTCAAATCTGTTTTTGCGTCTTGAAATATGATTTTTGCATTTTGGTAGATCTGTATCGTTTCTTGTGCTGCTTTTGCCGAGAGCTGCACGTTGCATACGTAAGCGTTTTTCTCGATCTGTTCAACCACAGGGGGAAAATGAATGTTGAAGGTAATATTTCATAACAAATGCGAGGAGGGAAGGTGACAAGGGGACTCCAAAAGGTAGTCTCTTGAAGGGATATTCGAGAATGTTGTTGCTTGCATAAACAAGTTTGTGAAGATGTGTAATCTATAGAAACGTTTTGAGCCTCTATCTACCGTACTGAGCTCAATTTCCAAGAGGGCTTTTTCGATGTCAGCTAGCAGTATGGTTTCTGCTTGACGAAAACGAAACATTATACTTGTTAAACCTGGCAAATACATAGGGCCTCTAAATAAGCAGTCTCTTAATAAATGACCTCAAGGAACGCTAGCCCCGGCATCAAAAATCAAAATTTTGTTGTTGCATGGTCTTTTGCAAAACCGGTTGATGTAGGAAATATGACACTATATAGTTTGTTGGAACTTCTGGAGCGAGTTTAATAATGTCGTCTTTAAACTGTTGTTTGATTATCTGCAGATATCGCTGAGCCAGCTGAGATTGTTGTTCATTAGCGTCAAAATTTTGTTGTAATAAACGTAAACGGCTTAAACAAAAACCGTAGTTTTTTGAAAGGTATAGACGATCATCTTTCT